GTAAGATTCTAAAAAAAGATTTGATAAAAAGACCCGAGCAGTTCACATATACATTATCTAAATGCTAAGAAAACCAGTGTATTCTTAATTTTTTACTTTATAAAATTTAATTTTTTAAATAGCATAATTAAAATTGAATTCGATAAAGTGAAAATTTTAAGTTTTTTTTTAGTATCGCTTGTTATTATAAACCTATATATATTATTTTAAATTAGTAAAATCGATAATTTATCATCCTGATAGTTCAATCATGAAATTACAAACCTTTTTTCATTGTATAGTGATGATTGAATATAGAGTCTAGTAATATAAGGACAATGAATTTGAAACTTTAATTTAGATTAATTTTATCTAACCTATATGCAAATCTAAATACTAACCTAAGTTACAAACTTTTACAATTCATTTAAACTGTTCCATGTTATTCAATTTATGTAATTGTGATCTTAATGTATTTTCGCTTATGGATGCTTAATGCTTAAAAATAATTTTCTATTTAAAAAAAATATGTAATTATAATTATTAATTTTATTAAATAGGATAATCATCTATACGTCTATAATTTGAATGATTACCATAATATCCATGAAAAAAGAAGACCGGACTCAGTAAATTTGTTTACTGGAAAACATATGGCCACTTGCGTCTGCAAGCAAGTCTCAGCTTGTGCGCCAGTTGCTCAGGTCTTCAATAGTATATCAATTCATAATCCGGCAAATATCGATGCAAGCAATATCTGTTTTCGATTAATTAATCAGTATCATGGAATATTCGACATTGCTTATACGAATCGTAAGAATCAGTGACTCATCTCTAAAAAATCGTATATTAATAATTTTGATCGAACTGATTTGCTTACGATTCATACCTATGACGATGATATTGAAGAAAGAAAAAAAGAGAGATCAATGGAGGGCGTAAGATTAGTTGGTATTAAAGAAGGAAATTTGCATTCTATGGACGATTATTTAGTAGCACTTTAAATGGTTCTAGATATCAATAATGATATTCAACACTTAGCTAATAGAGTCGTCCCAATAGTTGCAGATTGACCCGGGCAGTTGTTTATTCACAAAGCAATAACAAATTTGTATAAAGCGAATTCACAATATTCTATACCAACTGAAATTAGTTCTTTAATCCCGATAATTGGACCTCTCCATATCTCTCTAAATAGTAGAGAACAAGTATTAATTATATATTATCCTTTCTTTGAGAAGATGTTCCATTTCATATTTGGTGAAAAAAAAAAGCTTGCTAAAAACCAAGGCCATGGAGAATCAACTTACTTCTTGACCTCGCTTATAATGACTGGTGTAAAATCCGCGATGCAATTATATTAAAATTTGGGTGCTGTAAAGATATTGAGTATTGCATGATCCTTGATTTGTTAGATAATATTATCCCAGCAATCTTGGATGTTTATGCTACACTTTTCCGTTCCGGTTCGTTTGATGAATATGTAGAAACCATCTTTCGAATTTGGACATTTGCTCTTAGATGGAAAAGACGTAATTATAATAAAGCACCATTAACATTCCTCTCAGATATCTTTTACTGGCAAGATACCAGCCATCCTTTTGTTGAAGTTATAAAATTATTTTTGATGAATTTTAATGATTACTATGTTGAAAATATGCATAATAAGATACGATCTCACACCTTTGCAACTAGTAATGTTGAAAATATTATCAAACAGGCTTATGTTATTGGTAAGTTTCACCTCAAACTATCCAACAAGATTTATGCTTACCAACAGGAGGAAACATACCCAGCCCGAAGTGAATCCCTCATATCTGCAATCAATTACGATTCAAATTATTTATATTAACCTTCATTGTAATGGATATAATCCATCATTGATTTTAATTAATATGTAATATTAATGTTTCCTCCTGTTGTGCTTACTCCATAGTGTTTAGTAAATTATATTATAAAAAAAAATTATAAAAAGTTAGTTAATGTTTATTTATTAGATGCACAAAATCATTGCAAACTTAAAGATACGTTTGAAAGAAGACGGCAATACCCTTATAAGCCACCAGAATTGGATTTTCTTACAGAAAAAACAGCTTTATTCCTATTAAAACACTTCCACAAACTCTTCAATAATTGTGAAAAAAGTCAATTATGCGGAAAGGACAAGAACAGAAATGATCAATATAAATTAGTTACCTTGGATAAGATTGTTGATTCAAAATGCCTTCCAACAGCATACAGTACCAGTATATCTCCATGACAAAATGCCTGTGATTATTGTTATAAAGAACTTAAGGATGGAGAAATATTAATATGCGGGCATGAGTACCATTTTCAATGTTACCAAATATTAGAATTTGGTTGACGTCATTGTGAAGAATATTACAAACGTGGAATATACAGCAATGTAAATTCTTTTTTAAAGAGGTTAGAAAAAGGACCAAATGTTCTAACTAAGGAAGAAAGAGAAGATATTAATGCTGATAAATCTCTTGCTGAAAATGATGAAACAATGGAAGAAATAGAACTAGATAAAATTTACCAGACACATGTAACTTTTTTGGATGAAATTAATCTAGTTAATACCTGGTAAATAAAATCAAATAAATTTGCTAAATTGCTACGTGATTACAAGTAAACTTTTACTAGTTATAGATTTTGACTATACCTCTTCGTGAATCTTGGCATTATATGTTACCAGTATAAAGTAAAAAGATATGTATTGGTAGAAGTTCAATAAACCTCTGTTAGAACGTATAAACGGTTAAAAAAAAGTGCCACTTTCACTTCTCATTTAGATTCATGGTCTATTGGATCCGACTGGATGACAGTTTACTAAACGACGTGACAACGGTCAAAAATACGTATGTATAACTATTTCTTAGATTTTTTTAGTAGTAAAAAAAATTTTTCTTATAGCGAATAGATTTACATATAGGAAGTATTTTAAAATTACAATTAATCATATAAATGTCGATCATTTTTTTTATCCAATCAAAATAAACTTTACCCATGCTTATTAACAGAGCATAGATTTTATAGGTTAAAAAAAAAAGATCGTCATTGATGTTGATTATCCAAAAATTCTAGAATATTCGAATATTCGATGATTACATAACACGTGAGGGTACACTTATGTCGAGCGAAAATCAGACCCTTCCGATCCACATACTTGGGTTGGAGTATCTCAAGTATTCTATATCTTATGTGAAAGAGTAAATGTTATATATAAATGTTTCTATTTATACATGATATTATATCGTAGCGAATGCATTATTAATATTCGGATTATCTAGCGTCAAATCCATCTCTAGTCTGCCAATATTGTATACTTATTTTCACTTTCCGCCCTTATTTGTAAATTCCCCAATAAAAAAGTTATTCCATTTGCGTCGAAATTTTAAAACATGCGTATTTTTGGTGTTCTGAATAACATCATTTAATGCTCAAATATTAAGCTTTTATATGTATTGATTTACCAACGCCTAAGTTATCTTAAAATTTAAGGTTTAGCAGTTTCATGTTTGGGATGGTTTCAGACGTGGATGAAGCTTCAAATTTTGATGAGGTTTTAAAAACTATAATCCAAAATCCAAAATTTAAAATTTCAGAAACCAGGTCGAGAATGCAGCAATAATTGTATGGGTTTCTTAGATTAATACTATTTGACTCAATGAATCGCGTAATGTTCAAATCTTATTTTTCATAGTTTACATCGTATATCCCACGAACTTAACACATTTCACGTTACATTGTATTTTGGAAACAAATATATTATACTGTATCGTTACGTTATGAGCTGATTTCATTAGATCAATAGGAAAACTACAACCAAACTCAATAAATAACTGCGAATGCATTTATGTGAATACTGTCTTTTAACAAATACTTTAGTCGTATAAAAAAATTTAAAGAATAATTTACACTAGAATCAATATAACTTTGTTTTATTTAATAATGGTGATAAAATTCTAATTGATACTGTATGATGAGCAGATTATTGGACACGTTTGCACAGTACTATGATCATTATTTCAAAAATTCTATCGTCCAATCCTCAGTAATAAACAAATTAGAGCTCTTCATGACGAATGCGTTAGTAGTATTAACTTCAGACGATGATCAAAGCATTTTATGTCGAATTGTTAATTCAACATTAGAATTTGTCGTGCGATTATTATAATGCAATAATTTGCTAGGTTTCACATCGAGTCCTAGTACTATTATTTGTTCAACATGAACAGAGCTAATTGACTTGGCATAAAATATTTTTATCATTATCTAATGATGATAATGATTTAGATGTCAATTTTCCAGCAGAGAATGTAAATTGACGATAAACAAAACATCCTTTTTCATAATCATATGTTTCACCGTCATCTAGATATAAAAAACCAATTGCTTCGCTCTTAAAAAAAGAAAAAAAAGAAATATTGTTAATATTGAGATATATGAAAGCATAAAGACAACTTACATTTTCGTTTAATGCAATCACCAATGCTAAAGGATCTAAATGCATAGTCGATGAAGAACCTCGAATGTTCTGCCGCTTTGTAATAATGGATCCAAAAAAAATAATCATAATATATCTGAAAAATTATATAACATCGAATTAATAATTAAATTTAACACTAAATTTCTGAAAAATATCTCTCCTCATTTCTTGAAAAATAAACTTCAGTAGATGTTTTACAATCGGTTTGATAAGTAACGAATTTCCAACAAAATATTGATCTTTCATTTCGAAAACTTTTTCGTCATCAGGATAGACTACAAACATAGGTCTGGTACCAAATAAAGTTAACAGAAGGTAGATATTTCTTTAAGAACATCTCACAGAAAGATCTACTTTGTCCATCTACTTTTTATATTTGTGTACCTCAGATATACCCCGACAAATCCGTCCTTGTGTACATAAAAATCACACTTCTGACTGATAATGTCACAGTTTGTTGGTTTAAATGACATATTGACCACAAACGCAAAGGTCAAACTCTGGATTTCATTTCTATACAATAATATTATATTGGTTAGAATTTTAAACATGAACATAATAATATTGAAAAAAAAGAATATCTATCGATTTCCCTACAAACCTTTTCCCAACAGTATTAATTTTCAGACAAATAGTTTTCTTCAAACTTAGAAGCCTATAACCATTGATGTGACTACAAGGGTTAGAAATAGGGGATACTTAATTATATGCCATTTTAATTTCTAGGTCATATAGCCCCATCATTATCTATAATTCTTACGTTTCGGCAAATAATAGCAAAATTATACTGAAAATACAGTATAGACTTGAATATCAATTTTGGTTAATTTAATTTATACTTTAATAACCGCATTGACTATTCTACAACTATCATATTATTTGTGCTTGTAAAAAAAATTATGTAATAATTAGGATTGATAAATGCATTTTCTTACATATAAACATATCATTTTCTAAGTAATTTGCAGTTATCAAATATACAGTATATACTATTATATTAAAATGGTAAATATCTATATAATTATAAAAATTAATAACAGTTAATATTAAAAATACCCAATAGAGCATTAAAGCAATGAACTAGAACAGACAAGATTACCAATACAGAAATAGAATACAAAAATATCTTTGTTTCATTCATTTTTTTAAAATTTTGACTTATTAACTATTTGTCGATTGGTTTAACATTTGGATCGATGTTTTTCAATCATTTCTTATTTGCTGACAGCTTAGACATTTACCTGTATAATATATTTAAAATAATACTCATATGTACATACATCATTGCTAGAATTATCTTGTCTATCTAATTGGTATTCATTTTATTATTTTCTTTCTCATATTATTTTGGCAATTGTAAGTTTTCAGATTTCGTAACTTTTGTAATAGTTGAGTATTTTGCTCGAAATTGTATTAGAATGATAAGATTAAAATAATTATTAATTGATACATTAAATTGCATTTTAAATTTAAACCTATTTTAGAACTTTTTTAGGAGTATACTAGGTTAAGGGTAGTGGGTACTAAAAATTATATATAAACTTGATGGTAAATATTTTTTATAATTTAAATTATAAAACTTTTTATTAATTAAATCTATTTTAAGCTTCTAAACAAATTTGTAGAGTAGATTTTTGTGTGATTCTAACAGTAATAATTTTATTAAAATTAATTAAAATTTAAATATTAGGTATAATTTTTATTATAAAGTTTATTATATAGAACTACATAAATTAACCAATTAAAATAGTTCATTTTGTACTATCTAAGCAAATTTGAGTTGACCTAAGCAAATTTTATAATATATATAAATATAAGAAAAATACTTCAATTAACCTATGATGATCATCACTATTTCTATTTTTAGGGTTAGAATGCAATTTGAGACAGAAGCAAGAATTAGATATAATAGTCTGAATTTTAGATTACACAAGGTTTTCAGGATTCTAAACATTTTTACTTAGTCTATCTAACCTATGTTTCTTAGTGTGTTTTTTGAGATATAGCTCCTAGGTGATGATCACCATAGGTTATAGTTAGTAATATCCTAAATATAATTTTTTTTATAATTAATAAACTTTAAAATTTTATAAAAAGATATATAGTTAAACCTTTATAATTGCATCTTCTTAGAATCATGAAATAATTTTTTAAAATTGTTTATTTAGGAAGGGTGTGCATTTATAAAAAGAATTTTTACTATGTTTTTATATACTTGGGACCATGGTAAAGCATGCATTTAGAAAGAGCTTACATAGTGAATGCATTTATATAGAGTGCAATTATAAAGATCTGACTGTATATTATTTTAATGTATATATTATAAAAAGTTTATAAATTTTAAAAAAAAATTTATACTAAAAATGTAATTTACCTTGTAGATCATATTGTAGATCTTTCACAAAAAATTAATGACTTAATCCTAACCTAAAGATTTCATTACACCTGATCTTTTGATCTAATTGAATAAAAATCATGAGAAGGGATTTTTTGTAGGAGAGCTACGCACTACTTGAATGTGTGCCAGGTTCGTGTCGCAACAAAAATTCTTAAAGCTCATTTATGGTAGGGTTAGGGTTAGGGTAAGGGTTAGGGTTAGAAAGAAGTAGTTTCTACACTAAAATTGCTCAATGAAAACTTTGTATTAGAGTACTATTTCATAGTTTAGAAAATCTGCACCACAAACCTGGCACACATTCAAGCAGTGTGAGAGCTACCAACTATTATTTAATGTCTGTGGAACAATTTTTGATATCTTTACAGCATTACGTCATCATAAAAATATCATCAGCAATGTTCGAGCGAAAAAAATACTGTAATTTATAATAAAAACTTCTTTAATATACAAATTTAATGTATAATTTAACAATGGGCATTCTAGGCATCTCTTGCCAGAGACGCCTAACGATAATAATATCCAGTTAAAATGGATCAGTCTAACAAAACAAAAACAAAAAGGGCGAAGGTGTAAAAAACGTAAAAAATATATTTCGGGGCACTAATTAAAAATGTCGGGTAGGCGATTTACCTATATCACTTGTCTTCGCCCTATGTGACCCTAACTCTAATTAAATTATATGATCAAACATAGTTTTGAGCCAGAGATATATAAGCTAAACTTCTTTGGCCAGAGATGCCTTTAAAAATACTGTCGACTCTGGATATAACGAACTCAAATTAAAAAATTTTTATAATAGAAAGTTCGATGGGTCCTTAAGAAAACATAGTAATTTTCTATAATGAACTTTTTTTCTTCAGAATCGTCAGTTCGTTATAAAGAGTTAACTGTAGTACACTATACTTATTACTTTTGAAGTGTCTCAGCGTAATAGCATTAATTTTTGAAATATAATATATACTATTTCATTTATTGTGTAATTTTATTTTCCATTTTAGATCGTATAAATAATATAGAGTTGTTAACCGATAATATTAACATCTTCCTATCAGTTCTAAAGAATTGACAAAATTACGTGTAGAAAATGCATATAATGACGTGATTGAATTTCAGTCATTATCTAATAGTAATATATGAATATAATTACTTCAATAAAATGTAATTAACTGAATGTAATTAAGATCATTACTTAAACTTTAATTTAAATTCTATTGTACATGAATTTATTACTGAATTTATTTTCCTTATGGTCTATCATAATAACTCTTTGAACGATAATAATGTATTTTATGAGGAAGAAGAAGCTCGAGAATGGAAACAGCTGCGTTCGCAACAAAGGAATGATGAGTACGCCACATCTCCTTTTAGAAGAATGCCTGATGAAGTATGGTTGGTAAGTTATAATTAATCATTTTTAAAATCTTTAGCTTTGGTTTTTTATTAAATATTATAATTTTGCGAATTTTTTTTTTTTTACTTTAGATTCCACCAATTATCGATGTAAAACTAGTTTTAGGTGATAGAAAGATCAATATGTCACGTATTGAAGAGTCAACAAATACACACATGAGTTATAATGATACTGAAGGGGTAAAATAGTTATTTAAAGAACTTTTTTTCTTCACATAGATTTTATCTTATCCATATATAGCAAATTGAAATGTGGGGAACGCGTCGTGATCTCGATAAAGCTCTTATGCAATGGAATACGATCGCCATGAATATTCACGATGTAAGTCCTTCAAACTTATTATTTTTACGTAATAATTATAATTAGTTCATAAAGTTCATGTCGTTTTTTCATACCATTTTTTCGTACCATTTTTGTCGTAACATTTTTTCATACCATTTTTTTTTTGTACCATTTTTTCATACCATTTTTCATAACTCATTTTTTCGTACCATTTTTCCATACCATTTTTCGTACCATTTTTTAAGGATCAAATTAAATACAGGAGTGCAAGAAAAGTTAAAATTTGGGCTAGACCAGAAAAAGCCCTTACAGAAAAACAAGTTAAAAAATTACAACGTAGAGAAGCAAGAGAAAAGGAAGGACAAAATCTTAAATGTTTTCCTAAGATCGACTTTCCCTTTTCTTCTCATTTTTATTTTCCAGATCACGAAATTCCAATTTCACGAATCATTGGTGAAAAAGACGAATTTTTGGATCCAATTCGCATGCAAACCAAATGTTACATGTGGTATGAACCACAAAATCATGTAAGATAAAATATAATAAAAAAAATTTTTAAATTGAAAGAATCCATTTGTTTCTAAGATTTGAATTTTTTTTTTTTTTGTTCAAGATGGTCAGAGTTATTGGTGATGATGAGGATGGTGTTTATGAAGCAATTTCACGCGTTAAAAATCTTTACCTTAAAGTTTTCTTTGTAAGGACAATAAATGTTTATTAGTAGTTATTGTAAGAGTAAAAAATTTGCTTATATTTTTTCATAGGCTCGTAGCATTCCAATAAAGAGAGGCTGGGTTTATCATATGATTGAACAACCTCGAATGCTTTACGAAGTTAGAATTATAGATCCGCCTCGTTGGATCATACCACCTTATGATATAGTTGGTTTTTTTAAGTTTTCGAACCTGTTATTGAAAAGAAATCCGCTACTAGTACAAATACTGAAATTTTTGAGTCAGCATTTAATGCCAAGTTTATTGCAATCCATTGTTACGTCACAGCAAACATTTTTTAATTAACAAATTGCTGTAAATTTCAATGTTCACACAGAAAACCTCAAAAGAATTGAAGAAGCTCTATTGAGAGCTTTACAAACTGTTTATTTGTTCGATGAAGAAATAAAACTGCGTGTTAGGTAAATAATCTCAGTACAAATAATTTTTACATGATCTTATTTATTTCTTATTTGTTTATAATAACATATTCAACAAATTTAGATTTGGTCAAATATGCCTTACCTATTTTTCCTAAAGATATGTCATTATGGTCAATCGATAGGTTGAATAACTTAGTCTTGAAGGATACTCGTTTGCAATCAAAGTTTGCTACATGGTGTGATTTCTCAAAACGTTATTTTTTTTTATTATTTTACGTTTAACTCAATTAACTTTATATTAATAGTCTTGCTACGAATTTTAATCAACTCAAAAAATTAGAAGAATATTTTTCTAGTAATCAAGTATGGGATGAGTCATGCTCTCATGACGTATCATTTAGGAACGGCAAAATAGGATTATGGAATGCGGTTGCTGATGAAAAAAACGTGTTGGAGATTAACATGGCTTGTTTGGACTAGTGAGTAAAAATTTATTATAATATAAAATTTCCATAAATATTTTATATTCATATATATATATGCTTTTAATGGAAGTTTCCCTAAAAACAGCCAAAAGACTTAGTATCGACAAATTTGGCCCACAAGGATTATTCGTTTACAAATTACGATTAAGGTACTATCATTTACAAAAAAATTTAAATTATTATGTATATATATTTTACTAATATCTAATAATAGTCCACAAAATCATTGATTTATACAAATACTGAAGATGTTATTGATACCTCAGTTTGTGAAAAGCATAAAGAGAAATTTTTATGGAAAGAGCATTTTATAATTGAGATTACAAGATATGAATATTGGAACTGTGAAGGAAAATTTTTAAACGTTTCACCTTGAGTGGAAATTCCTTTACAACGTGAACCATCAGAAAATGTGTCATTTGGAGTTACGGTAAATTATTTGATTTATTAGCAGTTTTTTTTTTTTACTGATCTATTTCTTATATTCGTACATGTTATTAGTTATATAAGAAATCATGGGACGATGATTTCTCTGCAAACGGCAATTTAAACTCAGGTGAGGTGCCTGAATGGTATCCTGATGATATGTCGAATGGCGTTAAGCAAATGTTGAATGATATAAATGAATTCTTGAAAATTTTGCAAAATTCCCAATGTTATTAAACCAAATATATTAAACTATGAGTCTTTAAATTAATTATCAAATGTTATGCATAACATATACGCAAACAATGCTTTCAATTGCAAAGTCTAGTATTTTTTGTAATGCAAGTATAATAGGATTATTTCTTGTATTATGAATTTTTTCAATAAACTAGTAATACTATTAAAAACATAACTACTTGTGAATCGGTGCAATGGATTGTTATTAACGACCTAACTTTGTATTGAAGCAAAACTTTAGAAAAAGAAAATCTCTCCAAATACTTGGCTACAATCATATCTCTTCGTAATCACCTCACATATAATCTCGTCACATAAAAACGTTTTTATAATCACATCTCTATTTGAGCCCAACTATTATTTAATATACCGTATATTATTGATTAAAAGCAACCCCAGATTTCGGAGCCAAAAATTTGACTACGGTTATTATGTTCTACTAAAAATCCTTTCATTTTGTCTCAAAAAATTTCACATTTTTTTGCAACATTTTGGTTGCTTCTATTCGGTAATATACGGTACATAAAAAACCTCTACGTAAACACGCCTCTTTAGAAGTACTTTTTTTAAAAAATGTTGCTATGATCCCAATTGTGTGATTATAAGAGGTATGATATGACTGTATTTTTTCAATATACAGTCAAACCTCTCTAAATAATATAGGATAACTATCTCGTGATTGGTCGATCAGTGAAATTTAATTAATTCGCTATGATCGGTCAGATTATATAAATCGTAAATTCAAATAATTTTATGATAATTCGAATAACTTAAATTTTTTATTTAAAAATTTTATTTAAATTTTATTTTTAATAATAATTTGATTTTTTTATTTAAAAAATTTTATTTTTAATTTAATTAATAAATTTTTATTTAAAATATTTATTTTTTCTTAAAAAAAACAAAAAAATATATTTATTATTACAAGAAATGATAAGTTCATTATCTTTGACTAATTCGCTTTCAGGTTCTCCTGTTCCAAGTCTTTTTATTTCACTTTCGTGAATCTGAATATTTTCAAATTTTTTTTAGGTTTTTTTTTTTTTATTATTTAAATTCAATAGATGTTCTAGTAATTGATCTACATTCATTTTTATTTCATTCTGTAAAAATTGCAAAAAAGATAAACCTTTCTAGTTAATTTCATTAAGTATTCTATATGATATTTGTGATCACAGGTTAATATTTTTAAATTAGAAGATAAAAGATTAGTAAATACATAAATATTTGTTTTGGTATATAATAAATAATTATACAAAACAAATTGGTTAGGTTTTTGCAAAGTACTAAAGTCTAAAGAAAGGTAACAAGTATTCACAATAATTTCAATAGTCAGCATAGACATATTGAAATAATTGATAATTTTTTTCTTAAGTTAATATTTTTGTTTTGTTTGAATTTAAATCCATTATGTCACCTATAGTAATTTAATTGTAAATATTAATAAAACAGCTTAATAAAAGTTATATTACTTTTTATGTATAGCTATTTAAAATCTATAACTAAAAGGATTTTTTTTATATGAATTAATACTCAAATAATTCTTTAAGATATTTTTTATAATTTAAAAAATTAATAAAATGTTCTTAATATTATAAGTAATTTGTATTATTATGTTTTTGAGTAGTTTGTTACAAAAAACTATAAATAATTCAATAGTATTTAATAATTTTGGAAATATATTTTTAAAATTTCTAAAATTAGATAGTTAATATTTTTTCAATATAAAACATTAGATAAAAATATTATAATAATTATAATAATAAAACTATAAAAAAAGGATTTAAACCTATATTCTTGATTTTTTATATTCTTTTTATTTATTTGCATGAAAAAAAATTACATATATATGTATTAAAAATAAGTAAAATCAAATTATCTAACAAATCTTTAAATATAAGTTATTTAAGATCTTTATATAATTTAAATTTTTTTAATAATATCTAAAATTTGAAGTTAGTTATAACAAGTTACTTTAAGAAGCAAATTTGGTTTTTCATTATTAAATAAGCAATCAATTACTTAGTCAGACTGACAATTTTTATTAGTTAATTATATATTAGATACATTAATAATTCATAAGAATATAACTAGTTACATATACAAGTTTTAGTTATTATTTATTTAAAGGTTCTGCTTTAAGGTGCCTACTATTTGTTATATTTCATTTCTATTTTCAAATGCTTTATTTAAACTCTTTGGCTTATTTAATTAGTATCTATATAATTAATTATTTTATTGGTCATTGCATTAAGGATGATACACCAACTTGATACATTTGAATTAAAATGTAATTACATAAAGTTTTACATATTAAGTTGCAATTAAATAAATATATTTAATATTTGAAAATATATAGAATATATTTATAAAAAATATTCAATTAATTTTTGATTACATATTGTTTAAAAAAATCTCAAAGTTGGTCAATTTGTTAAAAAAAATTTTAAAAAATTGA